ACATTTGCTCCACAACTAATCAAACACTACACACCGATAATGCTGCCACCACGTCTCCAATACCATCGCACCGACAAACACACCCACCACACACTAGCACCACCACCACCAACCAAATTTGAATCCACTACAACCAGTATCAACACCATCACCACAACTCCACTTTGCCACTGCACATACACCCTCGCACTCTGCCGTTCACAGTAGCATCGCGATGCTGCCGTGTTCACAGTGTCACAACGTTGCTATGCCGTCACGACGCTGCTGTTCATAAGGAGAGAGGGGAAGGGAGGGGGAGAAGGAAGGAGAAGAGATGGTGGAATTGATAAAATTATGTTTAATATTAATTAAAATATAAAGTTAGTACCTAATTTTTGAAAACCATTCTTTAAACATCTAGTTTTATGTAATTTCCCCTAGAGGTTATACATGAACTCATGTATCCGAACCATACACGAACTTTACTATCTATATTTAAATTATACATGAACTCACTTTGTATCAAAATAATATATGCACACAAATTTATATCTCATTCATACACTAATTAATTTCGGTCCGTCAAAATTAACGGAACAATCAATGTGGTAGACCGTTCAGAATTCAGAATACTGCTCAAAATCGATTCCTGTCGAAGCGGATGCCATGATGCTATATCAATGAAGAAATGCAAATATATAACTCCATATAAGCAAGAGAAAATGTATTTGATGGTTCATAAGAGATGAACTAAGGCAGTCTGTTGTAGATTGGATTAAAGTCAATGTTAGCATCAGTTTTTCAAAGATTTGAGTATTACTTCAAATTTATTGTACGATGAGGATAATAAAATACAAATGGAAATAGACATGGTTTCCCACGTCGGAAGCTAAATCATGTATAGATGAGATATAAATTTGTGGATTCGTGTATGATTTTTACACCAGGTTGAGTTCATGCATGATTTTGATACACGAGTAAAGTTCATTACAATTTTTAATATAGAAGGTAAAGTTTAAATATTGTTGGCATACTTAACTTTTTAAGTGTCTGTCATGTCATAGTTATTTATGCACTCCGTGTTTGTCACGCCAATTAGTATGGTAGTTTTGAGTAACATAAATTAATTCATGCATCGATGTAGTATGAGATTGTGTTCACGTATGATTTTGGTATCCGAGATAAAGTTCATATGTACCGTTTGCGCATTTAACCCTAGCAAAATTACATATTTGGCTAAGCAAGTTTACCAACTTCTTTCAAGATTAGGTTGTGACCATACATTAGAGTAAACATAACACTAAACAGTTCGTATATTTGTCAGAACATTAGGAGCCTGTTTGGTAGGGATTTTTGGGGGAAGAATTGATTTTGAATAGTGATATGATGAGAAATGTGTGGTTGAAAAAGAAGAAAAAAATATTGATGTGATGGAAAATATTATTTTATTGAAGAATGTGTGGTTGAAAATGAGAATTGATTTGAAAATCAGAAACAAACAGGGCTTAGATGTACTAGTTACACAAAAGACAATCTTTTATAGAATCATCATCTCTCTCAAGGATTGAATGGTTCCTCTAGTAGCATGGAG